TCAGACGAGCCGGTGAAGTGGACTGGGAACTGGCCTGAGAGAGCCTCTTCCGGTAAAAACCGAGCGATGCGGGAGTTTCCCAGGATGCCTTCCTGGAAGACCTTGAGAGTCTCTGCCGGCACGTTGTAGTGAGAGTCGCCATTGGTATACGCGACGCCATTAGTCTGTTGGGTAACGCCATCTTTGGAGCTGGCAAGTTCTGGTTGAGAAGCCATGTTCGACTAAGATTAGGTGGGCTGAGTCGATGTGCAAGAGTATTAGGATTTCTTGGACGCGATGGTGGGTTCAGTTGCAAACACTAGATACCAAAGGCTTTCTCCTATACAACTCGGAACATCAGCCTCAAGCAAGACACACCACCACAGACTCTGCTTGGCCCACGAGGTAACGAGTATTTCACTGGTGGCCAGATTGCTCACCTGTTGCATTCGCTCGGAGGAGCAGCGGGGCTCGTGTGTCTCAATGTCCACCGAGTACGGGATCGCCCACCAAGAAGACAGAAACTACTCAATAGTCAAGCAAGAGGAGGATTTCAGCGACCGGAGTCTTTACTTCAACGCATGCTCAACATGGAGACGGAGGTGATGGAGGTGGCGACGCTGAGTTTTATGTAACCGAACGAAACATACTTTGTATACTCCGAGGGCTGATGATCCATGGACAGCCACCTGATCCCTCCAGTTGTAGTTCCCCGGACCTCCCACTTTGTACTTGTAAACCAAGGCACAAAATGAGGAGAAGATTGTCTGCCGAGGAGCCGAGAATGTCGTGGGTTCTTGGTACGAGGAGATGGTCAGACATGGAGAGAAGAAGTGGTATCATTGGGGACAGAGGACGGAGAGATCTGCTTGAGGCACAAGAGCCGGAAGTGACTATATTGTGACTCCATACATACGCCGTGCTCTCTATGTCTCTACCAAAGATGTATCGTGTTACTTCACAATTCACTCCCCGAAACATACAACAAATGATCACAGTCTCGCCTGGATCGCCTTATTCGCCTTGTTCGTCTTGTTCGCTTCGGCACGGAGTTCCTTACGGAGGATCTTCCCCGAGGCACTCTTGGGTATCTCGTCGACAAAGTAAACACCTCCTCGTAGCTGTTTGTAGCTGGCCACTCGGCCCTTGACGAACTCTGCCACTTCTTGAGCAGTGATGGTCTGGCCTTGGGATGATGGACGGGGAACCACGTATCCCCGGGGCACTTCGGTCTGTTGCTGGTGGTCCCAGACTCCGATAACAGCGGCGTCTGCAATCAGTGGGTGGGACGTGAGCAACGCCTCCAACTCTGCAGGTGTTACTTGGCTGCCCTTGTACTTGATCAACTCTTTCTTGCGATCGTGGATATAGACGTGCCCATCTTTGTACGTCCCAATATCGCCCGTCCGGTAGAACCCGTCGACAAATGTTTGCTGGTTTTCCTCAGGCCGGTTATGGTAACCTTGAGAGAGGATTGGGCCTCCCACCAGGAGCTCACCGGACTCGCCTTCGGCCACGTCTTCGTTGTTGTCGTTGACAACGCGAAGAACGACGTTTGGGCACAGCTGGCCGACACTCCACGTCTTCTGGTCGAGCCAATCCGTGGCGGCGATGACCCCGGAAGTCTCGGTAGTGCCCCAGGTCTGCGCAACGTAGGCTCGTCCCCTGCCCAATTTCTCTCTCAAGTCCCGTATAACACTCTCCCCGATAGGCGCCGCTCCTGTGACGGCAACTTCCAGCCCGTCAAAGTGGTCTGTAACCTTGTCGCTCTTTGCAATTCGTAGCCAGACCGGTGGAACCGTGAATTGATATGCCGGCCTGTATCGTCGATGGTATTCCAGAAAGGAGTCAAAATCGTAGCTCTTCATCCACCAGGTCGTGCCGCCCATATAGAAGGGACAGGTCGAGTACAGAGAGATTCCGGCAATGTTATTCATAGGTAGATGTGCGATGGTGTTCATCACAAACTCTCGTCCTTCTTGTCTACGGTGGGCACGGTAGCGGCGAGCGACGTCCATAGTGCAAACATTGTCTGCCACGAGGCTCCGATGGGAGATCCGGACGCCTTTGGGCATCCCTGTAGTGCCGGAGGAGTATAAGAGACAAATTGTGACTTGTTCGAGTGCTCGGCGGTCGGTAATACGTGGCCAGTCAAGCATTTTGTCCCCGTTTGACTCGAGGAGATTAGACCGATCGGCGGCAGAGATCAACTTCCAGCCTTTGGGGATTGTGCTCTCCAGAATCAAGACCCTTTCTCTTCCAATACCACATTTTTGCGCTGCAAGTACCACCCTCGCTTCGCACTCCGGTGAGCATACTAGTAGAGTAGGCTTTGCGTCCTCGATCTGGCGTACCAGTTCTGCCGCGCGGTATTCCGTGCTGGCACCCGTGTAGACTCCTCCCGCTGCGACGATCCCGTAGAAGAAGACGGGAGCAAATGGACTTCCGTATAGCGTTGTGAAGACGACATCGCGACCGACCCCCGAGGCGCCAATATCGTAGCGGTGCCGGAGAAGGTGCGCCACCCGCTTGACCAGTCTACGAGCCTCTGCTTTTGTAATGCTGTTTGCTGGATTGGCTGCTTCGACGTGGACTTGGGTGTCTTCACGAGCCAGACACAAGTCCGAGTCTAGAGCATAGAGATCAGCAGGTGAACAGACATGCCAGAAGTGCTACCAGGAACTAGTTTACCAAATAATAGCGACAGGATATCCAGGGATGGAATATCGAGGTCCCCGTGCGGCGACTTGTAGACCCGCATCTTGTCACTTGTGAGCCTCACTTGAAGAGTTTTTTTTTCTTGCGTCAAGTTGTGCAGGCTACTGACACGTGCTTATATCATGAGACTCTTTCTCTCAGAATGTACTGTACTGCCGTAATAGCATCCCCTCTGCTTTTACTCTGGAAGGCACCGCCTCGGTCAAGTATATTCAATGCCTCCGGCCCCACCTGCAATAAACTATGCCGAATGGAGGCACCAGTGGGTGCAAGGTGGGGAGCTCCGAAAGGGGGCAAATACAATAGTTGGTGGCCGAAATCGGCCAAACTAACTAAGTGGGATCCACCTTGATATACTGGCACCATCCCCACTTCCACCTCGATACTATAGTCCGTCACATCCTACTGCAGTAGTAGTGGTGGTAATAACAAGTCCTCTCCTTGCATCTTGAATTCCTTTTGATTTATCAGATTAAAACACATCTTACCATCACTGGCGTTGAGACCCTAACAGGCATTTCCACTGCGAAACAGCCAAAACCCGCCGGATTCGAGACCAACTCCGATTTCCTTCGCTTGAATCCAAGTGCTGCCGCTTCCCTTTCAAACCAAAATGGCTGTACCTATCCGTTGGCTCCCCTCAGCAGGTGCATGGTCTGCATCTAAGAGCTGCGTGCCTCTCTTCGCGGGAAGCAGTCGGACGCTGCGGCCGAAATGCCACGGACCACAGCAGCCAAATCGAAGCACCGTTGCGAGATTTGCAAGCACCACACGGCCGATCACGGTCAAGAAGATTGCAGGCGCCTGCGGTGCAGAGGTCTCGGACGTCGACCTGGCCAAAGACCTCGCAGACCCGAGCATCGTCAAGGAAATCCGAAACGCCCTCCTCGATCACTCGGTTATATTTTTCCGCGGCCAGGGTCATCTGACGCAAGCCGACTTTCTCGCGTTCAGCAAACACTTTGGCAAGCCTGTGCAATATCCGTTTGTCAGTGGCTTGCCCGAATATCCGGAAATCATCCAGGTGCTGAAGCGCGAGCATGAAACGTCCAACTTTGGCGGAGTGTGGCACGCCGACACCACCTACCTCGACCGGCCACCGATGGGCACCATCTTACTCGCCCGCGAACTACCCCCTTATGGCGGCGACACGTGCTTCGCCAACCAATACCTCGCGTACGAGACGCTCAGCGAGGGCCTGAAGAAGACGCTCAGTCCTCTCCGCGCCATCAGCAGCTCCGCCAAAGCCGACGTGAGCAAAACGCGCGAAGATCGCATCAAGGAAGACGCGGGGAGCATGAAACAGACGGACTTTGAAGTCTCGCATCCCGTGGTGCGCACGCACCCGGAGACGGGCCGCAAGATCCTGTACGTGAACACGGCACACACACTACGCTTTGACGGCTGGACCGAGGAGGAAAGCAAACCGTTGCTCGACTACCTGTTCACGCACCAGGTCAAGCTCGAATTCACCTGTCGCTTTCGCTGGGAGCCCGGCTCCGTCGCCTTCTGGGACAACCGGTGCGTGCAGCATAACCCGGTCAACGACTACCACGGATATAAACGGTTGATGCACCGCATCACCCTCGAGGGTGACGTGCCCAAGTAAGCGGGAGCTACATGTACCTTAATTTCGACGCTTGCATTCTTTCAAAATGCTTCAAAGTCCGACGCCGTGCGGGAGTTTTTCTGGGTCACGGCGAATACAAAATTGTCAATTTCTATAGCTTTTACATAGATGAGTATCAAAGTATCCAAGCTGCTTGACAGGTGACCTGTTTGCATATTGTGAACCCAATTTATGGCGAGGAAGGGAGACAAATGTGCTCGAACCAAGATCGGCGCTCAGGTTTGGGATCCTACCACCTCAGGACTTCCAGAGAAGCCGTGCTTGCAGGTATTGGTCCCCCTCGACCATATCCGCAACAAACTGTGGTGCGGAGAAGGCTGTCGGTAATGTATGCACCTGCATCCCTTCTTGTTCAGCAAAAAGAGGGCGGAATATCTCGCCAATCATGGCAGATTATTAGGCACTATAGTAGTAGATCAAGGATGGACCCTGTCTGGCGGTTCATGACCAAGGGCCCATTCCCAATACAACTTTTGGTACTGGCTGTTCTGTCCTTTACGACTGTAACAGTTGGCCACTGTACAAAGACGCAATCCACCGGCTGGGTATGGCGACAGACATTTCCTAGACTTGAAATAGCCGTTCCTCAAGTTCACCGTGGGACTAACAGCTCGCCAGCCCCCAGGTCTGTCCGCGTCCCAACTGTCCTTCAAGTCACTCTGTTTTGGCCTTTCTAGACTTCAGCAGCCTTGGACCCCTCCTGGCGAACTTCGACAACGTCCGCTCTCTTCTCTCCCTCACCCTGACCTAGGTGGACAATGTCGGTATTGGCAAGGAACTCGTCCAGCTTCTGCCTCTTCTCTTCGGTAGTGTCGTTGACGTGAACCGCGACCTCGTCTCCAAACTTCTGGCCGATCTCTTCCAGGCTCAGTCGAGCTGTCTCCGGGAAGTAGAAGTAGATGATGGGGATAAAGACGGCACACCAAATGATCACCACGAGATAATACTTCCAGCCCACCCGGTCAAACCCGATCGGCGCAGTCTGCAGCAGGATGATGGTCGAGGCAAATTGGCCGAAGAGAGAGAAGCCCATCCCAATAGGTCGGATTTCCGTGGGGAAGATCTCCGCGACGTAGATGTACATGGTGGTATCGCAGAATGTGCTGTGGGGGAATGTCAGTCGGAACGACGGTTTCTAGAGCGGTTCGAGCTTTACCCTTCGAAAGTGAGATAGAAAAAGACGAAGAAGATCCCGGCAGCGTTGCCTGCACGGTTGTCCGTCCCGGCGTACTCGGCGATCATTGCTGCGAGACAAGCGGTCGTTACGAGACACCCAGCGGTGCCGAACATCAGCATGCCACGGCGTGAGTTCACCTTGTCATGAAGCCATGCGCCAAAGGGGTTGTAAATCAATGCTAGTCATGTTCAGCACGTCTTGTCGCTCATCTCAGACAGGGGAATCTCACACGAAGTGCAACTCCAAAGAGCATACAACAGGAGAGGCATGGACCCCTCCATTCCCAGGCTCGTGTAGAGTATCACCGAGTAGTTGTTCTAAACCAAGTCAGCCACAGCACCGCGACTCCGCACTGATTCTGTCATCTTGAACTCACAATGACAAGCGGCCCAGAGAATTCAGAACCCCATTGTGTCAAGAACCCCACGATCATGCGTTTCCTGTAGCTTTTCTTGGTCCAGACCAGCTTCCACACTGGCTGCCCGGAGCTCTTCAACTTCGCATTGTCGACACGCACCTGTTCGCGAATCTGGTAGAACTCTTCTTTGGCGGCGATTTCATTCGGATCATCTTTCGTTGTACGCAGCCGTCGAATGATTTGGAAAGCCTCTTCGTGCCTGTCCAGGGAGATCAACCACCTGGGCGAATGAGGCAGCCACGGTGACCCCACAAGCAGAACCAGAGGAGGTAGGCATTGTAGACAGAGGGGAAACCTCCAAGCAAATGCCTCGTTGTGAGCAGTCGCAAAGTAACAGGCATATCCGACCCAGGAAGCCAGGAGATAGCCCCAGACAAGGAAGATTGCGTGATGTCCGACGAGCCACCCTCTGCTCCCTGGGGGGGACAGCTCTGAGATGAACATCGGAACGATGGTTACCAAGACACCCACGCCTATTCCTGCCACTATTCTGCCGACCTGAAACATGCTTGGACGTGTCAGGATAATTGTGGCAACATTTGTGACATAGGGTTAGGGCTGTGGCAGACTCACGCTATAGCTGCTGCGCCGCCTTGCAGGACGCCACCGACCAAGGCCGTAAATGCCCCTAGCTGGATACTGGCCCTACGGCCGAGGGCAGAGGCAGTCCACATGACCAGCAGGGTGCCGATGGCACCGCCTGCACTGTAAAGGCCGTTTGCGGTTGCGATCGTGCTGGTTGTTTTACCACCGTAACCCGGCTCACCTTGCGTTGGCAGGTCAAAGTAGGAATACCATCCTGGCTGGCCAATGGTGGAGCTGATCACCGATGAACAGTATCCGTATGTCTATCACTAGTGGTCAGCCATCCGGACCGCCTCGCAAGGACTGTCTGTCCTGGGCAACGGCGGTCTTACAATAGAGCCAAACCCCGTGAGAATAATGACCCAGCGATTGTAAGGCGTGATGTGTGAATTCTTCGATTTAGCCATCTTGGGCGAAAATCGCTGCAATTGGAATGATCCCAGGAAAGGGGTAAGATGAAGTCTGTAGAGAAGTCCCCTGTACAGATTTATGCCACCACCTTGACCAAGGGATCGAGGACGCATATAAACCATGGGTACTTGGATATCATCCCGCACTGGATCTCGGACGAGTTCTTTGGCGACTTCGCGGGGTCTCCACGCAGTAGGAATTACCCGCCATCGGCTCCCCGCCTGTGATATTGACCTCATTGATTTCATGTGTTGCTCGGAAAAGTTTCAAATTCCGCACAGCTGAGTAGGGGACAGTGTCGATTCCTTCGGCCACGAGACTTGGTCAACAAAAAGGTGTACCGCTGCCGTGGAAAGCCGGTATCAAACGGTGAAGGAGTGTTATGGCATCACTGTGTCTAGGCAATTGGGTGTTGGCCCACAGAGAAACATTCCTGTTTGTGAAATGTTCTTTCCGAGAGAATTATCGGCTATATCCGAAAGAACCGTGCCCATGGACCGGATGATTGAGTTGCTGGTGTGTGAAGGTTGGTTTTAGCATGGCAACATCTGCTTGTTCCCAGAGAGATGACCGATATTTCGATCCATGACAGATTACAGAAAGGTATGGCTCGGGTAAACCTAGAATTGAGGTGTTGTCTGTCAGGAGACGCCGCCGCTGTATTGGTAGAAGCCACTATACCCGACCGGCGCCGTGGTGGCCAACTGTATTCCGAGGGAGAGAAATCACATGCTGGATCGGATTGCAGCACTGGCTCTTTAAGACCGTTCTCGCGTCGGACAACTTCGAACCGTCCAAAGGGGTGGCATTGAGGGTCGTACGCGACGCCTGGATGACATGTACGAAGCCCATCGACTTATTGCTGCTTGGACTTCATCATGCACTACTGTGAGAGGTTCCACCAGCTCGCGCTCGCTTTAAATCGACAGAGTATAGCAGAGTATCGCTGATCGCATCTATTGAAGAGAGTGTGAGCCGAGTGGGTGACTTGTGTCGACGTTGTACGAAGCGCCTGTCTAAAGCTTTTACAAAAAGCTTGAAAAGCTTGAATTTGAGCTTGACACCCTTGACACTCCGACACTCTTGACACTGTCAAATAGACACAATCTCGTATCCGCGATGCGATTTTTCAGGTCACATCGGCTAGATCTTTACTCGCTTCCAATTGTGACAAGGCTAGTGATAATTTTATGTGCAACAATGTGCAGAACAGGTTGAGATGTTGCACCCATCTCCACCACACAACGATCCACAGCCCTAATTGGAACGGGTAGAACTGCCTGCCACGTTTAGACGAGCGACCAACCATGAAAAGTTGATAGACGACTATACTCATTTATTCCTGGTCAACAATAAGAGTCGGATTTGTAGAAAAAAGAGCTGCATGGTGACTTAAAGATCCTTCATTTTGCCAAACAGACCACGACGCCAGTACATAACTCGTACACCAATTCAAACTCCAGGTATTAAAAAAGACAGTCTCTGTGCAGATTCCAAAATCTTCATTACCCTCCCCTGCGAATTGCACGTACTCACTCGTCGTAAGTAGCACCCGGGGCCAGTCCATGCTTTTCATAGAGCTCCCCTGGCTGTCGGCCTAGTCGACCGGCACTGCTCCTCAGCTTGCCCCTGCTGGCGTCAACAAGGGGAGAGATCCATTGGTCTTCGACGGTGCCACCGACCATCTTGTCGCCTTTTCTCAAATACGTCGTGGCGCCCAGCATCGTCGGCTGGAAATTGACGTAGATGGCCTCCCAGTGCTTGCGGTCCACCTCGAAGATTTCGTGGTTGATGCCGATATGATCATTTTCTTTGATCGTCTTATTCCACCAGTCCCAGCATTCGCGATGCAGCTTGCCGTACGCAAATTTGTGGATATCTTCGGCCGACCGCCAGTAACTCAGATTCATGAGCTCTGTCGCGCCGTTTTTATCTTGGCTCGTCCAGTTGGAACCACCGTAGTAGCCAAGATCAGGATTCTCAGCCTCGAGATCCTGGATCATTTGGCTCAGATAGTCGCCGATAGTCTTGACGTTGGGGGCAAAAATCCCAAGCGGGTGATTGACCTTGGCTCCTAGCATGAAAACAGCAAGCTTTTCTTCCGCTGCTTCCTCGTGAAAAGTGCCATCCTCGTCCGGGATTTGCGGAGAAACGCGATACGGAAGAGCTTCATCGAGGTAGTGGTTTTTCTTCCGACCTAGAGTAATGGCCATTGTATCTGCCAGACGGACTCCAAGCACAATAAGAGAAGGAAGCATGGCATAGAAGCGCGGTATGATAAAGACGATAAGGGACTGTAGCAGAGCCCCAAGGAGGATCCACGTCGACACCGAGAAGTTTTCTCGGAGAGCCTGGAGAGAGTCAGTGCTCGGAACCGTGCAGTAATGGTGTTGCGGAGACTCACGTAAAGAAATCTGCTCCTCGCGTCGGGCCAATTACTCTGCGCACGTGGGCGCTTTACAAAGGGAGGAAGGGCACTCTTGAAAGCCATAGTGGGAGCAATGTACAGACGACTGTCGCGTATTTCAAGCACTTTTTCAAGGCGTTAGCGATGAGATGAACCAGGAGTTGTAGAAGTAGGAATGAAAGCTGATATCGAATGTGTAAAAACAAAGGCTGGTGAAAAAAAGTCGACTATATATCACGGTCACAGCCTGTACCACCAAGCCGCCACTGCCATGGATACAACCTTGCTAAACTTCATCGCGCTGAGTGCATGATGTGCTTTGCATTTTCGGACGAGACGAATCGCAAGCGAGAGAGCAAACCGGGGTATCAATTTGGGCGGCGGAGGTGCCAATGGCAAGGAACCTGCTACCTGCAACGTCTGGGCTCCATACCAAAAAGGTAACTTGACCTGGGCGGCGGCATGGCTTTCGCACGAATGCTCTGAATCAGGCGAGATACCCCCCAATTCGTTTGTGGAGGACGAAAGTGTGACAGCAACATCTCCGCAAGGTGAAACGTGAACAGCGGGTTGAATATAGACCGCACACCGCTAAGCTACAATTTAAGGCCGTAAGGGGCTACCTCCCGAGTACACAACAAACAGTGGTTGAAGGCCCTAGGCAGACACGAGTACTCGGTACATTACTTCATCTCGCCTCCTCTATTCCTCAGGCCCTATACCATTCGGCCGTAATCGTACACGACATCGGAGGATCAAGTCTCTAGTAATGCGATTCACATTAGGTTACTAGGGTAGTCGCTGTCTGGACTTTTAGGCTGTAGCATAACATCTCCAAGGAGCTCCGGACCCAATATCCGACCGTCGCGCCGATCTATGAAACAAGCGGGCTCACCTGACGCGCAATGCTCGGAAGAACAGGATGTTGACGTCCCTCAACCCACAAGTTCCTGCGCAACTTCAGATCTCATCCTCCCCAGAATTTCTATCTCTCTAAGAGTCTTCTTGCTCTACCATTTAATGCTCCAATTTGACACAGCCCAAACTCCGGTATTTTCATGCAGACCGTGTGAAAGCGTATCAATAGCAGAACCCGTCAGAGTTCTGCGATGCATCTCAAACTTATGACGCCGTAGGTTTCGGTGTCTTGGCGGGAGACAGTCCCAACCCATTTCTGTTGCGGAAGAACAGCACGCCTGCGTCCTCCCCGGTAGCCCCCTCCATAGGTTCAACCCACCCACACCATCTCATCGACTTCCACAAGCTTTGCAGAAAGCCCAATGAACCTCCCTCGGTGTCACTTCGATAATGACGACCCATAACCTTCTTGATGGCTTCGCTGGCCTCATCAGCGTGGTAGAATGGGATGGTGCTGACATAATGATGGAGGACATGAGTTTCGATGATTCCGTGGAATAGTTGGCGCCCGATGAACCCGAATTCTCGATCAATTGTGGCTGCAGCGCCGCGGGTATATGTCCACATCTCAGGAGTATAGTGAGGAAGAGAAGGGTCGGTGTGTTGCAGGAACGTTATCGCCACTGTTTACCTGTAAGCAAGAGAAGTTTGGAAACACCAGATTGGTTTGTATAACTTACCTAACCAATGATTGACCCACAAGTAGGGAGCAAGATACCAGACAAACAAATTGGAGAGACCATAAGTCTTACCGACCCAGAAGAGGATGCTTCCAACCGCGAGAAGACCCAAATCACTCAGGAAAATGAGCTTGGCATCTTTGGCCTCATACAACGGGCTGGCAGGATCGAAATGGTTGACTCCGCCTGCGAAACCGTTGTGCTTGCCAATGCCGCGGCCCTCACGCTGAACTTCGTGCTTGTTGTGGCCGGTGACGTTGGTGAGCAAGTACATGGGCCAACCAAAAAGTTGTTGGGCGATCAGGTGGTATGCAGTTGCAATTGGAGTCTCCTCAGTAAGCTCATCGAGCTGATGTAGCAGCCACCCTCTTCGAGTGCAGTATTGCTCTTTGGTGACGGGGACGAAGACCATGTCTCGCTCCATGTGGCCCGTGGCTTTGTGATGCTTGCCATGAGAGATTTTCCAAGAAAAATAAGGCACCAGAAGCGCGGTGTGGCAGAGGTAACCGACGGTGTCGTTCAGGACCTTGCTGGGCGAGAATGACTGATGCCCGCACTCATGAGCCAGCACCCACAGCCCGGTACCGAAGAGCCCTTGCACAACAGTATACAGAAACCACAGACCAGCTCTTAACGGGGTGGACGGGACGTTCTCCGGGGTCAAAAACCGGTTGAAGAGGTAAAAGGTGACGGCGAGGGAGGTGACGTCCCGAGCAACATAGTACAGACCGGTGGCCGCAGATCGTTGGAAGCAATGCTTGGGGATGGCTTTGTGTATATCGCCAATTGTGAAATCAGGCACTTCGAAGGGGTTGCCATAGGTATCGAGCAGCTGCTTCCTCTCGGGGCTCTGTTTTGCCTGAGTGGTAGCGTCTTCCGATGCAAGCGAGGACAGGGAGGTCGAGGAAGGGGAGGTTCTCGGACTATCGAGAGGTGAGATGTTGGCAGAGGAGCTGGGGGTCGAGTCAGTTGTCGCCAGATGACGAAGGAC